GCCCCTCCCCCTGCCTGCCCCCCAGACTCCCCTAAACCCTGCCCTGCCCAACCCCATTCCCTCATGGCCCCCCTATCTCTGGCCCCCCACCCCATAGTTTTAAAAAAACAACAAAAAAATTCCCCAGCACTTACTGGCAATCCAGCTGCCATCTGTCTCATTGTGGCCCCGACTGCACAGCACAGGGCAGAGGGATAGCCCCAGCAGCCCCAGCCCAGGCCCTTCTGCCCCCCGCTGCCCTGTGCTGCCTGGGGTGGGACTCTGCCAGGAGGCCCTGAAGCTCCCCAGCCCTGCTTTATATGGTAAGTAGAGGCTTTTATTTTCATTTTTTCTTCCTTTTTTTCCCTTTAAAGTGATGGTGCATGGGGTTGGGGAGGCAGCCATGGGGGCCTGAGAGTGCAAGTGGGAGGTGGGGCTGGGTGGGGCAGCCATTGTGGGGCTGCAGTAGCTGGCGGGGGATGGGACCAGGTGCGTCAGCCATCGGATGATTGGGTGGGGCATGTGGGCTTTGCAGGGGGGGTAGTAACCCCTGCAGGGGCCATTTCACCCCTGTTGGGGGGCCATAGACCCTGTGTGAGGGCTGTAACCCCTGTTGGGGGGCCGTATGCCCTGTGTGGGGGCCATAGCCCCTGTTGGGGGGGGTGTATCCCCTTTGTGGAGACCAAATCCCCTGTTGGGGGGGCCATAGTCCCTGTAGGAAGGCAGAAAAATATATATCCTTGTATTCATGAATTCATGAAACATGTTATTTAGAGTTCACTTTATTATTATGATAAGATACATGCTTTTACACTGTAGATATATCAATAAAACATTTTCCAGCTGACCACTGTCTCTGTTTCATTCTCTCTCCCTCTTTATAGTGGTCTTTTGTTTTATTTGTAGAGGAACATGGATTTTGGGGTATTTTAGAGAGTGATTTGGGGATTTTTTTTATCAGGGATTTTTCAGTTTTCCAACAGGGAACACCAGGATTCCTGCTAAGGAGGCCAGTGGCAGGACCCTGCCTGCTCAGAGCTGGCACCTTGGATTCAGCTGGCTGTGGCTGACCTCCTGGCCAAATGGAGCCAGGAGGACATGCTTTGACAGTTCAAAGCAGGCCACCATACCTGGAACATCTTCCAGGCGAGAGCTGCCCAGATGGCTGGGCAGAGGGCACACGTGGCAGTAGAACCACACAGAGGCCAACCCTGCAGCCACAGCCCCCTGGCAGCTGGCCCAAAGGAGCAGATGCCTCTATTGGGTGTGCAGTCCCCATCTGGGTCTGGCAGGTGCACAGCAGGTCACAGTCAGGCAGCAGCCCCCACTGCCAGACTGCTGCAGTGCATAGATGGTGCAGGGAACTCTTAGAGCTGCTTCAGCAGTCCAGCTGGCACAAGGGGTAGTGTCCCCAAGTACCAATTGGCTGGGCCCAAGAAGCTCCTGAGAGCAGGTAGCCCTGAGCTACTTGCCAGGGCGTCTTTTTATACTGCTGGGGACAGCACAGGTGCTGAACCCAGGCTCTAGCTCCCCCTGGCTGCAGATCCATGAGGATCCAGGCAGGGTTATTTTGCCCCAGGCAGCACAATTTGCTCCACAACAAAGTGCATGTCTAAGCATGTGCGCTGAGGCGAAAAGCCCCAGCTCAAATTTGCACTGCTTCTATTTGAGTTTCTGTAAGCGCATGTGCTTGCATGTGTGGACACGCCCATTGTAGCTGATAAAGAAACGTAGCCAGAGTCCAGTGAAATGTGAAGTTTGTCAACAACCTTAACAATGACTAGGAATGAATCCCACATTAAATTATGTGGTCTTACACTGAGGGCCACAGGATGGCATATATATCTGCTCATATGTCAGCAAGCCTTCAGTCCTTGAGCAAGAGAAAACAGCGGTAACTTCCAGGAGCGGGTTAGTCCTGCCATGTCTGTTAAAGCAGTAGAAAAATGCCTTTCCCAGGGTTACCATATTTTCAATTTCAGAAAAGAGGACTCCTGTGGAAGGGAGGGGAGGTATATAATTGGGACGGGGGGGAAGAAGTGATATGCCCATGCCCTGCTACTGCCCCTGCCCCTCACTCCCAACCCACAGCCCCGCTGCTGCCCCTCACTCCTGACCCACAGTACCCTGCCCGCCAGACCATGCTGGAGTTCCTCACTCCCAACCCACAGCCCCTTGCCCTTCCAAAACTTGCTGTTCACACAGCTCCCTGCTCCCCCTGAAGCTTCCCCCACCCCCTTCCCCTACCTCCTCACCCTGCTACAGCCCTAGTGCCAGCAGGCATGCATGCATGCACACACAGAGACACACACATATGCACTCGCTCTCTCTCTCTCTCGCTCACCTGCCTGTAGCTGCCGGGGCCAATGCACAAATCACATGATGCCCAGCCTCCAATCACCTTCCCTTGCTGCCCTCAGCACCAAGCAGCTCCTTTCTGGGGCAAGCCGGGAAAGCAGAAGCAGAGCAAAATCCCGAACATTTGCTGACATTTTAAAAAGCCACCTGGATGGAGATGGGAGGACCCAAAAAGAGGACATCAGGGAAAACCCAGATGTATGATAATGCTAGCTTTCCTCCTTTTCTTGTGCAGTTTGAGGTGTGCAAAGGGGAGAGGTCAAGCACAAACGTGAAGTGAGCATGTCCTGAGAACAAGGGTGAGAGACAGAGGTGAATAGAAAGGTTATTAGCAGGCAGTGACAGTAGTATTGGATCACAAAGAGAACCTTCACCGAAACCCAAAAATGTGTTGCTGGTACAGCTGCAAAACATTCAGAATAAGTATTTAATAGAAAGATGTGCCCTTGCTTATGAGGGTCAGGATAGAAAAACTGAGAAATACAGACAGAGCGGATTCCTTCTGTGTGGTATTTACAGTATTGCTCACATCATGCACCCAGTGTCGTGGCCTAATGTCTAGGTTGCTGTATTGGCACTCAGGAGCCTGAATTCTTTTCCCACCTCTGCCACTGGCCCTGCTGAGTGAATGTCAGCAAGTCATTTCACCTTTCTGTGCCTCAGTTCCCAGCTATGTAAAATGACGAGAACACTGACCCCCTTTATAAAGCTCTTGGAACTCAACTGATGAAACACATGATGTGAGAGGTAAGTATGATCATTAAAGAGCACCTTTTTTAGATATCAGATAGATGCTGATGCCAGTTGGTCATTTTAAACGAGTCACGTTCATTATATTGGCTACAGCCAACCTCTAGAAGCTTTCGTTTAATCACCCACTAAAAACTGGCACTGAAAAGACTCCAACGGTCAAATTCCAGTTAGCCATCCATATAGAAGACCATAGAAGAAAATATGTAAATAATATGAAAATCTTTAAATGTTATCAGCTCATCATCCTAAACCAGAATTTGAGCTGGGCAATATATGTAGTATTAAATGTAAAGCTATGGGAAGTTTTAAGGTTTCTCTTTTCATACTTTGCTACAGTCTTGATAATGGGTTCAGTTTATGGGCTCATAAGATTTCATTAATACACACCCAGTCCTTGAGCAAAATGAGGTTTACTTTCCAGTGGAAACAGACTAGTTTCCATGCTACTACTATTCCTGCCAAAGAATTCTCAAATGACCTATTAAGTCAGTTTTAATACCCCATTCACCGCATCAAACCACTGCAAAGGGACCATTGTCAAGCCAAGAATGTGTTCTGTTGACTTCAGTGGCATTATACCGGGAAGGAATTTGATCCAGTATGCTAAGGATACAAATTTCTCATTAATGATCACAGACCCGGGGGACAGCAGAACTGTTAAGCATCTATTTTAACGAAATTATACAATATAAGCACACCTTTCAAGGGAATTACCATTTCTGGCAAATGAAACTGGAACCATTAACAGCAGTGTAAGGCTTGTCTAGACAAAATAATCTGGAATCAAATAGGAGGTAAGTGTAAACTGGAGTAGTTATTCTGTATTGAATGCATATGTGGGTGCTCTTATTCTGGAATCAGGAAAGACCCTTTGTGGATTAATTTAATCCATTTTGAAAATGAGGTAGATTAAAATACAAACAGTAGCACAGCAGGGGTACACAAATCAGTTACTGCCAGGTCAAAGGAGGTGGGTGTTTATGACACGTCATCTTTTCTGCAGTAACTGCTTATATGCACATTCTTCCTCTGAAAGAAGAAAAGGAAGCCTTAAGGGCTAAACTACTGTGATTTAGCTTTCATTTACAATGAGGTAAGAGCATGCATGAGGACAGTTATGGTAGACCAGCTGTCCAGCAGTAAATCCTTATCACCTTTTGTTCCATAGAAACTAGTTCATGTGTATGTATCCTTATTCTGGAATCAGAGCATTGGCATTGGAAATTGATCTGGAATAGCTAACCCACAAGAGTTGGTCAAAAAAGAGCTTTTCTGGAATAAAGCCATGTGTAGACAAGCCCTTGTTTTATGAAGAACTAGGGAAATCTTACCAGGAACAAGCTGGCTAATTTGTCCAGGTTTATGGGCAATCATTATTTTTATTTGCAGTATAATCCCTGGGAACAGATGAAGGAATCAGTGCTTTATAACATTTTGGAGATCGGAAACCTTGTTCCCACTATCAGACAGAAGATACACTTTTTTTGTCTAAGCCATTGTCTGCAAACAATTTATTTCTGTAACCAAGTGAAATGTCTTGGCTGCTGTCCTACAAATGGTTTAGCAAAGGGGAAAAATCAAATTGCTGTCTCCCTGTGAACACTGTAACATGTAAGCAATGAAAGTGAAGTTAATTGGTTCCCTACTTCAAAATGTTTAATAACTCTAGAGGGGTAGGAGGTATTGTTCTCCTTCTTGACTCTCTATATTAAGTTTAGTTTTCTCTCTTCCCATATGTAAGATCACAGAAACATAGAAAAATAGGGTTGGATGGGATCTCAGAAGGTCATTTGGTACAATCCCTCTGAGCTCAAGGCAGGATGATATTTCCCATCCTAGTCTAATATTTGTCTACCCCCTTTTAAATATTTCCACAAACTGTCTGACTAGGTGGCACATTGGGCACTGAGGCCTGCAACTTGGAGACAGTTGGAGACAGCTACAATTTGTGTAGCTTCTCATTCTCCAGGAATTCCACAAATCTACAAACCCATTTAGTTTCTAGGGCACCCTATAGGCTATATGGATATATCTTAGACCAAATGAGTTTCAGAGCAGAGGTAGGAGGGGAATGTAGAGCACTCATTTAGAATGAAGTGTAATTTCAAGGTTTAGTCATCAAAAAACTAATAAGCACATACTGCTGTTTTAAAGAGTAGGGTTATTCTATCTGAAAAGTACCAATAGTAGTACTGCTACTATTATTTTTTTGTTTTCCCAAAAGAAAGATACTATCCTATGCTATGCTATAACTTCACAATAAAAGTCTGCCTTCATGGTATGCAACAAATTTCCTCCAGTGATAAGACAAAATTTCTTTCATTATTCTTTTCAAGATTAACCTAGATCAGGAATGCATTATATCTGCTTTCAAAGATTTCTCCTTAGTGAAATGTTCTCTAAATATTTTTATCAATTTCTGTAATAAGAGTAATCCCTTTATTGCAATAACTATCAAGGCAGGCAGCTTAGCATGTATCACATAATTTATTCCAGGTTTTAGATTTCTGTATTTATTCTGAGGGGTTTTTTTTATTCTGGAGCATTGCAAAGGGTATGTTTTCACAAATAATTTTGGCACTTTCTTGGACTGAAGCATGAATAGCAGTCTTCTAACTTCAAAATCATTGTTTAACCACAGCTGTTAAATAAAATGTTACACTTCTCAGCAATTCAAGAATATATCGTCTTAGCAAAGGAAAGAACATAAATTGTGATTCTAACGAAAATCAGTTAGATCCTTAAGATGAACAAAAGTGGGAGGAAGATTTTGAGATGGAACTAGGAAGTTCTAATCATTTGTTCAGTTATTCGCAAGTCCTGAAACATAAAAACTTATTTAAATCCATGGTTTTAAGTTTCCATTCTATGTAGGTTTTAATGGTCTACAGTCAGGCCCACTGCATCTTAATTATAAGAATGTAAATTTGAGACTGGTATGTTCCTTCCAAGCTTCTAGCAGATACCTAGGTTAATATAAAGCTTGGCCCTTCTTTCTATCTCCTGATATCCTCACATCAGCTCTTGTTTGGGTTGATAGTCAAGAATGATAATAATAATGGAATGACATTATTACAGTCTACAAAATAGGATAAGATGTGCAATTACCATTGTAAGGTTTATTTTTAATAATATGTGCAATAAATGCAAAAGGCAGCTGCTGCACTGTTGGGTGGTTTTACATTGTTTTGCTTCTGTTTACTGTGTGATAACCCAGGGTAGGGCAGTTTAAATGACCTCGACTGAGAAAATATATGACGTACTGGAAATGTTCCAGCAGCTCTTTCAAGCCATTTAAGTACAGGATGTTCAGCAGGAATCTTAAGCATTAAAAAGATCCGGTGCTCGTAATCTAATATTTTCACAGAAAGTGTTCAAGGGATTCACCACCACAAGATTCCATTATTCATGAAATACTAATCATGTAAGTGGAGCAGGTAAATGCTAACATTTTAGTCAAGCAGAGTTTTAGTATTTAATATGCAAGATCTGCATAAAACCTCCTTCGGTTGTGCTGTACAGTGAAGAGCTAATAACACTGATGTATAGTCATTACTATTCTGTATTGTGGTCAGTCTGTCATAGGGAACATTCTGATTGGAGCTGGGCTAAAATGACAAATGTAGTGGCAGCCAATGTTCAAATATAAAATCATGAATTCACTTCAGTATTCATGACCTGTTTTATTTATCATTGCAGTCATTAAAGATATTTATTTTGCTGTTGTTGTTGTTGCTAGTAAGTTCTGCATTCGTTTTGAAAGCAAAGTTCTCTAAACAAATGTATCTGATATCCTTGAACAAATGGATCTGATGGTGGTAGACAGACACCTGAAGTGTATACCAGGTCATCGTGGAATATCTTGGAGCTCTTCTTTCCTCTTTCAAACAGCAGCAAAAGCTATTCCATGTCACTTTAGTTATCTGTCATCACAAAAAACTGGCATAGGAGAGCTGAAGACATAGGCATAGGAAATAGTTTATAAAAAATCCAAAGTCTGAACTCATTTATATTTCTGTGCTGTGCAGTTTCAAATAACAAACACATCTCTAATACATCAGTCAGGCATCCAGTGTGGGGGGGGAGGTCTGTGTTATGTCCAGTATTGTTCAACATCTTCAATTTCATAGATTTCATAGACATTAGGGCTGGAAGAGACCTTGGAAGATCATTGAGTCCAGCACCCCGCCTGAAGGGCAGGAAGTCAGCTGGGGTCATAGGATCCCAGCAAGATAAGCATCCAATTTGCTCTTGAAGGTGTTCAATGTAGGTGCTTGAACCATCTCCGATGGCAGGCTGTTCTAGACCTTGGGGGCTC